GTGGCCGTTTTGTCTTATCCTATTACTGGCCTCTGCTGAAAAGAGGTTGGCCCCAGAATTTCTTTAGTATTGCTTCAAAGTCTAAACAGACACCAGAGAAAGAGGAACTGCGAATACACACTTCAAGACTTCCTATTGTATTCTATTTTAAAGGGAAATTCCAAAATCTCCAGCCTTTAATACAGCATCCCAATGTCCTATTGAGAGTAATAAAAGCGACTGCATGTTTAACACTTTTGAACATTAGCCTCTAAGTAGAAAATGAATCATTTGCATATTAACTAGTAACAGTTGTTGATTTTTTAGATCTACTTATTAAATGTCACAGCAATTAAAGGCCCAGCAGTTTCAACACCAGAAAGACCATTTCTCCTTGTGCAACAACCCTATAAAGCTCCACTGCGCAGCGCTGAGACCTTTGCACCAACGGAGCTGTTTGTTTGGCTAAGGCTCAGTCAGGCAGCCCTTAGCTGTACGGGGCCGTGCGTGCACGGGGCCAGCGCTGAACATGCCTCTGTGTGGTCTGGGAAAACGAACTTCTTGAAAGATCACTAAACAGGTAGAAAACCTCATGCAAATAATCTCAAACCAGTTTGAGTTGGATTATATCGATTTTCTCTAATTCAATTCAAACTTAACAGCAAGTAACGGACAGAAAGAATGGATGCAAAATGCACCCAGGTTTGTTGTGCTGGATGAACAGTAATAAACATTTTTTTTTTTTTAATGGATCATGACTTTCCTGGACAAGGTAATTGATAGTAAAGTCCCAGCCTGGAGAAACACAGCTCAGGCTGCACCACCACAGCCAGAACCATTGTGAGAAGCGAGTTTTAGCACTTTACCCATCAGGAGCTCCTGTACTCTGCCCTTTGCCGGAGATGAGGGTGAGGCAGAGGAGCTGCTGCTCCCTCCACTTTGCCAGTCTCTCTCCTCTGGCAGAGGAGTGCGACAAGGGCCAGGGCAGCAGCTCAGGCACAATTAGTGCCCAGTGGCGCTTTGAGGGGGGCAATTGCGCTGCTCCCGTCATGCTGGTCACCTTCCCGCTGGCCTTTGCGCCCTGACTGCTGTCTTGTGAGCTGCTTTATCACCTAGTTCGTTTTCTGGATACACTTTATTTTTTCTGGATGGGCTGCAGAAATGATATCATCCTTCTTGCCAGCCTGTTTTACACTCCGTGCACAATACTTTTCTTTGTGCAATAAACAAATAATGAATAGGAGAGCAACCCCAGCTAAGTGGGAAGAAGTCTGGCAGGCTCCTTCTTGCTGGCTACAGAACAAAGTAACCCAGGAGAGATTCCAACATTTTCCCAGACTTCTTCCCAGGCTGTTTCTCCAAATGGTGTTCTTGTCAAGAAAAACACACTAGTGGTCCTGCAAAAATGCATTTTTAAATTGGAAATACAAATGCAATACAGGTATTTCTGTGTTAGTATCAATAGAAATCTATCTTTAGCAGGTTACATCTACTTACCGAGGCTTTGAAGTTTCTCCTTCTTGATCATTTCCTCCAAAACTCTACTGTAGAAACACCAGCACTGCAGTTTTCCTCAGGGCACAGACTACCTGTGTTGGCCTCCTTTGAAGGTCTGATCCAAAGGAACACGGATTGTTTGCCATGGGCTTTGGCTGCAGCTGAACACAGGGACACTCCCTGGCATCGCCACCAGCCTTTCAGGGCAGCAGCTGAACTGTGATGAAAGGAATAACCGTGAAAGGCAGGTCATGGGCAGGCCCCACATTCAAAGGCCTCTGTAGGATCAAGGCCCCATACAGACTTCTCCCCTTTACGGCCAGGGTCCGTATTTTCTTGCTGTACACAAATGAGAACTGTTTGCACAACCATACACGCCTGTGCATTACACCCGCATTAGATTTGTACGTGGTACTGTCAGCTCTGTGTGTTTGTGTGAAGTGTTGGCTCAGTGTTTTCTTATGAAAGAGGTGCTGTTTAAAGCTTACATGGCCTTCCCCAAAAACAAATCAGGACAGCCCAGTGTTGAGGCACCCTTAGGACCAAAACATTAAGGCCCAAAACACTAAATAATGTCCTGTCAGTCCTTGGAATGAGTTAAGAAACAATAAAATGGGAACCAGTCTTACAGTACAAGCAATCCATCTAATGAACACACGATTTAGGTCTCAATGCAACACGTTATTATTAATAAAAGACACATCTTTTTCATAGAATCACAGAATGCTTCGTGGCACAGGGCTGCGTCCAAGCAGGTTTTGAAGATCTCCAGAGAAGGAGACTCCACAACCTCTCTGGGCAGCCTGTTCCAGTGCTCTGGCACCCTCAGTGTTAAAAAACCTTTCCTTAAGTTCCTGTGGAACTTTTGGTGCTTCAGTTTGTGGCCATTACCTCTAGTTCTGTCAGTGGCCACCACTCAAGACAGACCAGCACCATCCTCTTCACTCCCTCCCTTGAGGTACTTATAGGGAGGGAGTGAAGAGGTTTCAGATTTTCAGAGGTTTTAGAGTTCTTACGTTCCACAATTAGATTTTGGGGGTGTTGGAAATACTGCACGGACTCTTTTTTTTTTTAACTTTTAACGTTAGAAAGCATTTGGCATTTTGTCTGTATAAACTTTTCTGTTTGTAGACTTTTACCTGCTTCTGTCTCTCATTTTTTCTCTTCCCATATAAATCAGCTGAGACATCTAGATTAGTCACTGAGCTCCTTCCCTATGAGGGGCATCCTGCATTTACGTAATACTCGGGAACGCCTTACAAACCAGCAAGACTGTGACTTACAGAAAACGAGACAGGTTTGGAACCGGAGCCAAGAGTTATGCAAACTTAAATAGATTTTCCCTAACGTACTCTTGGAAAGAAGACAATGTGCACTGAAAGAGGAAAATGACACAGCTTTCCTTCATTAGAAATAACTATTCCTGTGTGCATTTTCAAAAAACCCATAAAGATGAAGACCACTATTCTTATTTTCTCTACAACTTTGGCCTTTTGCTGCAAATCCTACATAATCTTTCAGTGATTTTTTAATTATTATTAAAACAAGGAAAAATATTTCACTAAGGAATGATTGACTTTTTAAAAAACCTTTTTAGCCAGTTTATTTTCTTTTGCTAGTTTTCTCCAGGCAGATATCACATCACTCCTAGAAGGCCTGATGTAACATATTCGTACAATACAGTGCAATGACGTTTTCAAACAGCCCAGATTTTCGCTACCAGCAAACCCAGCAGCAATCGGTTGGTTTGCACAGCCCCTTCCCTGGGTGCAGGAGCTGCGGCCCCTTAGATACAGGCTGCTACTTTAACCTTATTTCTTTAAGTGTCACATACCTTGCTCTGATCTGTCCTTACCTCACTCAGTAACTCTTGAATTGACTGCCTAGTCTTGGCCACAAAGGGAAAGAACTCTGGAAGAAAATTACATTTCTGCAAGTTTAGTGAATGCAAGAAAATGCCCTATAGAGGGAAAGGTACATAGCACACCCTGCAGCACACCTTGCATGTTGTTATGCATCACAGAAATCCCATGAGAGAGCAAAAGACAACACCAAAGCCTCAGAATCTGGGGAATTAAAAAAAAATCACTGGGAGTTACAGTCAACCACCAGATGCACATCTGCAAGAAGGCAGGTTTTGCCAAGCCTAGCGCGCTCAGCACTGCTCATTTCACTGCGGGAAGACAGGTCTGCAAGCGCTGGCAGGGTCACCCAGCACAGCTGCACAGCCCTGCTAGGGCTCAGTCTGCCAAATGTGTTTTTGCATTCAAGAAAAGGGTGAGTTAAACTCCACATCAGGACAAACCTTTTGGGGAATGCTAAATGCTGCTGACATCTGGAATGCAATAAATTTTCAGAGTACTGTTTCTGGCAAGGTAGCTGCAGGGGGAGAAATTCCTGTTTGTTGGAAACGGGGTTAAATCAAAGCCTGATTTATTTATTTTTACAAGCAGAATGCTTCTAGCTTCACTGATTTTCATTTAATCAGGCACCTCAGGAAAAAATCTGTAACAGCTAGCGGCTTATGATATATGGTACAAACAGATTTCCCTGCTCCAGCAAATATATACGCACACTTATTTATGTGTCTGGCAGTAGGCAGCCAAGAAGGCCACTTTGGGCAATTCACTATCGTGTTCACTGCTCCCTCCAGCTCTCCTTGGAGCTGGAAAGGTTTTCTTTTCCTGTTGTGAAGATTTTTAACATCAACTGCAACAGCCCCCTTTGGAGAAAGTTGTTCTAGAAACAGAGACTTTCTCAGATTAAGCCCTCCCTGCCTGCTGACAGATGTTTGCCCCTTTAATAGGGACAATCTCAGTACGAGATTTTAAAACCACCATCTTTCTGCAACCCTCAACTGAAGTGATGAATTCAGGTTCCCCAAACGAAGTGTCCAACACCAGCTTTCAGCAAGATACTATGGAAAAAAACAGCATAAGGACCCTGCTTTTTGAAGATGTCTGGTGACAGACCCTGTTACTCAACTCAACATACCCACCAACACAGAAATCAGCAGCCACTAGTGCAGAGTTGGGTGGAAGGCTCTGTGGTGACCCAGCACATCACCACTTTGAGAAGCCTGGCACTCTGTCAAGAGCAGTTAACGGGTATTAGCAGGGAGGACACACAAACGCAAGGCAGCACGGGCATTAGCCCAGCCGTGCAGGCTCATTTCCCACCACAGTCCCGGGGAAGCTCTGCCGCCGACTCCGCTGAACCCAGGTTTGTCCACGCGCAAGCTCAGGCAGCGCCTGGGGCCGGTTGCTCCCTGGGCTCGTAACCACATGGAGCTACAGCCGGGTGCTGGGGAGGCCTCTGGGCACAGGGCCCTCGGAGAGCCCCAGAACGGCCGAGTCTCCCCCGAGCCCAGGCCTCAGCCGCTCAGGGCAGTTCTACAGGCACCAGAGGAGACCCGAGACCAGGGTGGTGCCTCGGCCCAGAGATGTGCCCTGCGCACGGGCCTGTTTCGGCACAACACAGACACAAAGCGAGAGTGAGGAGAAACAAACCACAGGAGAGCAGAATTTAAAAAATGTCCTAAAAGGTGCATTTTATTCCATATAATTATACAATGTATACATACAGGCATACTTCTGAAACTGCTCAAAAGAAAGTGTGAAAAATAAAGTGAGGTGATTATCGATTTATAAATTCCTCCCCCTCCCCCAGACTCCCCACAAATAAAATACATTTTAAACAATCTCTACCAATTTTGTTTTTGTCTTGAATTTATTGAATCTTTCATTTCAACATGAAAAATACAACTGAACAAATACTCAAGGTGAAATGCTGGCCTACACTTGTGTAATGAGTTGCAAGCACACAGTTTAAAACCTCCAGAAGCGCTTGGTTTTGTTTTTTACATAACCTTCGTTTTATTGAATTAGAAGGCACAGAGAGTCCAAATCCTCACAGATCAATAAAACGCCAATAAAATAAGTTACTGTGCTGGTCAAACTCCTGACTTGTCTGAGAGCAAACAAAAGACCTCAGTGTTTAGAATAGCACCATTTCCACCTTATCTTTCTTGAATGTGAGTCAATCTTCTTGATAAAAATTGTAGTTGGCACTTGAGGTGGGACACTTTCTGCCACAGCCAGGGTTCCTCAAATCTAAGCATATTGCTGAACTCTCTACAAAGTGTAGGTAACATTTTGTTGGGAAATGGCACATAGAAACCATAATATCATAGCTTAACCCGCATATGGCTTGCCCATTTGGGTGTTTCCCTGACCCCTGCCTGACAATTTAGCAGATGTTCTTGTGACTGTGGTGAAACTAAAATAAAGACATGTTTATGGGGTTTCACGGCAAGCAGGTGTAAAAAAAATAATAATAACACAAATAATGTGGTTGCTGCTAAGAAGGTTTTCACATGTTGTTTAACTCCAGTAAAGTTTGATCCAGCATCTGATGCATACTAAGGTTTTCTTCTTTGGCATGCGCCACTTTCTCTGTTGTGGGATTAGAAAATTAGAACATGAATAGCAGTTCTTTGGAGGCACCCATTCTCAGAACACAAAGGCATGCAATCAGCACTCCTCACGGAGCTTCACAAGGTAAAAATGTGCATGCTCATAAATGCTCATGTCCTCAGACAGCACAACAGGGAGAGCTCCAAATTAATAAAAAATGCAAGTAATGCAAGCCTAGAACTGTTCACAGCTGCATTTTTAAAGAAAATGTACTGTCAGAGACTATATTCTTGTATGTTCTGGGAGCTCTTTGCCATAGGAATGTGGAATGGCGAGTTGATTTTTTATTTACTTTTTAAAGTAAGGCAGTAAGAAAGACAGATGCAAGGTCTTTGCAGTTCCATGCTTTAAGCTCATGTAATTCAGAATTTGCATAGAACTAAAAAAAAAAACCCACTAGAGCCATCTCCTTCAGCCAAATGACTTTTGAGAAAATTAACTTATTTCTGCCATCAAATAATAAAAAAGCAGCTTTATGTTGCATGCACACTTTTATAGGACTGTCATTTAACACACTTATATGACACAGTAAATGAGCACAATATTCTAGAGCTGCATCTTACCAGAACCCCATAATGTAACTTCACACTAACGCAAGCATACCTTCAAACCGACCAGGTATTTGCACATGGAGCTCCTATTTCTTGTTTTGTTTTTAGTCAAATAAGAGTGCCTTTTGTAGTAATGCAAAATTAATGCATTACTATCTCCAGAGAGAACAGCCATAAATATACTTTATATGGGTTTTGAAATTTGAATCTTGGTTTCCGTCTACTTCCTTTCCTAGTCGGGCCCTCGGGCCCAGTTTATGGCATCAGCTAAACCCATCGTCTCTCTCCAAGGAAGGCTGTTACTCCTTGGATACTGTTGGCAAAGTGCTGTAACTGGTACCAAAGTGGGAAGGAGCTACTGCACAGCCCAACTAGGAGCTTGCAGCTCCTCCAGAGTAGTTGTGTGTACAGACAAACAACAGCCTCATCTGAAGGAGCACTTCCGTTTTATTTTTTCCAACATAAACTGAGAATTTCATCCGTTAATTTATCACAGAATCAACATCCTGAAAATCAATTTCTAGGTTTCTTGCTTCTTTCTACATTTACTGATTCATTCTTGAGGAACTTTTGGAAGAAGCAGTTTTTAAACAAGTTAACAAGATATTCACACTAAAGTTTAATCCTCATTCAATGCCAGCTTTAGTTCATTAGTTAGGCGACTGTTTTGCTCAAGTTGCTGGTAGAGTTGGTCTGACAGGCAGCAAGCAGGTTAGAAGGAAAAAAAGAGGCAGAATGAAGACAGATTAGACAGAGAAAACAGGTAAGTCAGAGTTAATAAAGAAACTGGTCACACCACAGACAGTTCAGTAACTAGTAACATACAGAGAAACATTTTACCTTTGTCTCTAGAACTTTAGCAATTAAATAGCTGCTCCAAGGAGCTGCTATTATAACCTAAGGAGGACCTGCTAATCCTCCTGTTGGGGAGAACAGCTGCGAGACAGGTGAAGAGGAATAAAAATGGAAGAACTGCAGCTACATTCCTAAAAGGGCTAAATCTTGCTCAAAACTTACGAATAACGCACAGAAAGTTTGTTTTGTGAATCATTTTTTGTAGGTGTGTTGGAACCTCTCGTCTCAGCTGGCGGAAGGCAATTGCATCCTAGCGCGGCCAAGGGAGGAGAGGCGTCGCTGAGCGGCCAGCCGGGTCCCCCGGGTGTGACAGAAGCTGCCCTGCTGCTCGCCCCGTCCGGGAGGCCTCTCCTCAGCTCCTGGCATGGAGCTCAGCAGGATCCGGGTGATCCCCGAGCCCTCAGCTCCAGGGCATCCCTACTGTGGAACCTCACAGCTCTACACGTGGTGTTTCTACCAGGGCAAGAGAACTTGAGCTACTAATATAAAGAGGCTTTAAACTCCCTGGTGGTACTTCAAAACACAGACAAAAACTGCACAACACACGCACAAAAAATCACGCTGAAGGTAAATGAAATGGTAGTGCGGAAATCTGCGTTGCCCACGTACGGCGAGCCAAGAGCACACTTCACGATCAAACACCTACAGCTGTGTCATGGCAGTAAATTTAAGAGCTGTTGCAGACAGGGAAGCAAAGGTCTCTGATGGTTTTTCACTGTTTTGCCTTTTCAACCTATGTACGTTTTCCTGATAGTCCAGGGACAAACCGATCGCCTGGCCTCTTGCTCTGAAATGACCCCACAGCAAGGCAGCCATTGCCACAACCTTCTAGGAGCTTCCACGGGATCCCGCATGCCCATGGCCACACCCGCCGTAACGGCGGAGCTGGGCACCGAACTCAGCGCCTGCGCAACGACATCCCCAGGCCCGGCCTGACGCCAGCTCAGGAAAGTCCGTGCATGTCAAGGAATTGAGGTCTGGACCGTTAATGAAGCTTTTGTTTCTTCTATTGGAACAATGCCACATACTAAGACACACACTGAAAAAAACATCCAAACCTCAGTTACTAAAAATCCGACTTGTTTAGCAAGATGTGGTCACTCAAACATGACAACATAACAAACTTGAACTAAAAAAAAAAAAAAAAAAAAAAAAAAAAAAAAAAAGAAGCCGCGCGGGGGCAAAAACACAACAAAGGCCAACCCGCACTGCTGGGAGGGGAACCGCAAGGGACAGCGGCTCCTCACCCTGCAGCACAGAGGTATGAGGAGGAACGTTCAAGGGGAACGGGGAGATTTAAACATCGATATTTAGAGTTACTGTGAAGACCTCCCCCTTTATTTTATTTTTTTAAGCATTACTACATCCCTATGTTGGATTTTAACTGCACAAAAACATTTTGCAATAAGATGAGAAAAAAAAGCAAACAATTACTGATATAGTGAAACAAATGATACATTCAGTGGTTGAAGTTCCTGTAGCCTCCGTTACCACAGCTCAGCTGACAAGAGACCATGCTCTCCTTTACCCAGACTCTTGCAATTGTCAAGTTAACCACATCTGGCTTTAGTTGTTTCACAAATGCTGAAATACTCTTGGTTAACCTACACACTAAACGTTTTACTCTGCCATTTCAATACACTGAATGCAAAATATAATTATATCGTGATTCATGAGTGGCAAACTATTGACTGTTGATATACACCCCATACTTGCACTTCCTCCCACACCCTGTAACATCAGAAAGAAACAAATGCCATGGGATAAAAAACTGGAATGAGATGAAGTTATCTGAGGGGAAGAGATGGACCCGTTTCACACATTACTTGGAAAACAGGCTTGGAGGAGAAAAGTAGATTAAAACTACTCAACAGTGTAATTTTGTAATCTAAAGTTGAACAAGAAAGCCAGTTACATTATGCTATATGCCAAATTAAAACTCCATTGCAATGTGATGAGCTTATCAGTTATTGTGGCTTCAGAACTTGGCAACACACACAGTTAGTTGCATATTAACTCAACTCAACTGAAACTGATGCTTTCACATAAACTGGAAATAGCATTTTCCACTGTGAAAGAAGATTGTATATAAAAGCACAAAAGAGCAAGAGGTGGCAGTATTTAACGTTCCATACTTAGACACTGCCACATCAACTGAAATCCACTGTCTGGGCTTTCCAACCTGAAACCAGTATGTTTGTTCACAGCAGACCCATTTCAGTATCGACGTAACAACGAGTTTCTTATTTCAGGTTTGAAACATTTCTCATGAATCTGCACTTCATGCGCTAACCTGAGGTAAGTACAAGACTGAAAAGCTACGGGAATCTCCCTGCTGAGCTCTCAAGAGAAAGCATAAGGTAAAAAAGGTAACAAGCAGCACCCTTCCCGAGAAACCGCATGTGGTAGAGTGCAGCTTTCCTGCAGGACAGTAAAGTTACTGCTGGGAGAAAGCAGGGGAAGGTGCTGAGCTTTCCATGTTACTCCTTAACTTCTCTAGGAAAGGGATTTTAAAAAAACAGATACTTAAATAAAAAGCAGGAAATCTTCAATGTCAAACTCTGAGGACAATTTGAACTCTAAAATGAAAAGCCTAATGGCAAGGGCTTAACTGCTATCTTGGCCTTGCTCCCACGACCAAGTGACCCCAAGGGAGCAGTGTCCTTGCAGTTTTGGCCTGAGAATAACAAGCTAAAAAAAATCCCATTAAATCTCAGCGTCATTTTATCTGCACCATAACTTAAGATCAAGATCATGACTGGTCAGCATCAGCCTCAAAATACCAGGAATAGCATTCTCACCCCTTACACTGATATTGTTGGCTTTGCATCGCCAACATTTAAGCAGAAGTGTTTGTGGAAAGAAATGGAAACAGCAGAAGTTAAGTCCCTAGTGGCAAAAAAGCAACTTTTTATTAATAACTAAAATAGCTATTTAAATAAATAAAAGGCACGGGAATAGCAAAAGGGATACAGCTGGGATGTTTATTTTACACTGAGATGTGGAGTTTCTGTACAACAGAGCACAAACAGGGCATAGTTGGAGACGGGTGCGCTAGAAAGTCAGGTAAGGTAACAGACAGGACAAAGAGCCCAGGAAACATCCAAAAGCCTGGAAAGATGTTTTATCCAACCTGATGGAGATGTCTTTGGAGAACTGAAGCAAAGAAAATTATCTGCACGAAAAGAAAAGGTGAGATAAGGTAGGAAATAAAAAGGTGCAGTAAAGATTTTCAAAAGATAGCAACAGCACAGCAGAGCCCAGCATCCTGAGATGACTACCAGGGAAATACCACACCATGCAGGACCAGAACGCTACTGCAAATCCTCACAGACCAGCAGAGAAGTGCATTTTAAAGTCTGCTTTCCATTTTGGGATATCTCAAAGTAAAGAAATACTGTAATTTCTATATACAGAGGAAAAAAAAATCCATTTGTGTGATAAGTCATTGAGCAAAAGCATATGTTGGGACATAAAGAGGATACAAAGCAGACATTAGATGCTACTGAAGTTGGGAGAGAGGGGAAGTGATGAATAGGTGTAGGGGTCTAAAGGCAGGCAAGAAAAAAACAAACAAAAACCAGGTGAATACCAAACACCTTTTCAGCTCTAGCCAAAGCTCATGCCCTGCTGAAAGTGTGTTTGGTTTGGAAAGAGAGGCTGGGGCTGAACATCACAGCATGAGAGCCCCAGCTCTTCTTCTTTCCCTCGTCAAGCACATGCTGCTCATGCACGAGAGGAAGGAGCTGGGTACTGAGCAGCACTGATCTCTGAGCAGAGCTCCGGGCTCCCAGAGGGCCGGGCCGCATCCTCGCTGCGCAGTTCCAGCCCCACACCCCAGCACCCTGCCACGTCCCGGCACAAAATGCTCCTCCTTTCCACCCTCACGGACTAAATCCGATACTGAAACCTCTGCTATTGCAAGTTACTGCCACTGTGCACAAAAAAAAGAGCTTTTCAAGTAATCTTCACAGAAACAACCCATATTTTAATTCTATCACTTCTGTGAGTTTAAATGACTGAGTATTCTCAATCAATTTCTGCATGTACAATTCAACAACTGAAAATTTCAGAGCAGTCGAGGAAGTTTAGATTTTCATTGGTATTAATAGATGACACAGCCAACTCTCACATTTTTCTCTGAAACTCTGGTAGGACTTTTCCAGAGAACTGTGAGAGCAGAACAACAACATACCCTGTACAGAACATGTACTAAGGTAACTATATCTCTGCAATTTAAAAGTGATAGGCCTGGGAGAAAATACATGAACAGAGGCAAGCTGAAAATCTAAAAGCGGAGGTACAAAAAGGGCAACCACAAGACACAAGGATCAGATAGGGAACGAAAGAGTAAACACAGGCTTATTTGGCAGCTTACAAAATCACCATGAGTATTTACCAGGCTAGGCAGAACACTCACCCACACTCTGCCACGGTAAAGAAACTGTTCATGGTATTTTGTACCCCTGCTCTCACTACAGAAACACGTCTCCCGCTGCAGAGGGAGCACAAATTCCCAAAGCCAGAGGCATGCAATCTATGAGGGTATGGAAGCAGGCACAAACGGGAAAGACATTTACATGGAAGTCATATCGTTGAGAGCGTGGTCCAGCTCCTCGCTGATGGCTTTGTACTTCAGTTTCTGAGCGTACAGCTCATCTAGCGTTTCCCCATGGGAAGGCAAAGGTGAGCAAGGACATGGAGCGTGACCATGGGATGGGATGTGAAGGCAATGGCATGAGGTACCATCCAGAAGCAGCAGGAAAGGAGAGGACAGCGCACAGAAAGAAGTGTCGCAATAGGTAGAGCAAAAGAAGCAAAATACAAAGTTAGGGAACAATAATAAAAGAATGAAGGGTTTTGTGACAAGCTCTTTAACTGAGCTGCCAGTGAGGCAACCTGTGACCAAGAGAAAGATGGCAGCAAACAAAGCGTATAAGGAAAACACAGCCTGTGTATCCCTACCTGGATGGCACTGTTTTAACAACCACTAGAGACACACGTATGAGCCACACAAGTCGGCAGCAGGGGCAGAAGATCTGAAAGTGTTGCTCAAGGAAGACGTTTATTTTTATCTTCCATTTATCTTCCATGGGCAATGTAAAGCCCATCACTTCTGTGAGCAGTAATAACTCAGATTTTTCATGAGATTTTTATTCTAAAGCACTCAGTTTTCTTCCCCAAGTTTTCAGCATCTGAGTATTATTCCCGAGATACTTCCTTTGCATTACATGGATGGAAGCTTGCTGTTCTATCCAGCAATCACATTGCTTAACATCTCAGACACTGTAAAATATCTAGGAACTAACTGCCATATAACTTAACCTTTAATTACAAAGCACTACTGCGTTACTTGCTCTGGGGGAGAAAACGCATTGTACTGTAGTTGCAAGAGTTATCAAAACCTTAAATCAAGCCCTCTTGGCGTAAATAAGTTCTCCTCTTGGATACGTATACAATCCATTAACTTTGCTAAAATTGTTCTGTCAAAAAAAAAATGCTCGCCCTGACCTGCACTCTTTGTGGTCATAAATTAAGTCTGTTTGTTACCTTTCTAATTATAACAAACGTAACATGGTTCTTCACCAACTTTTAAAGCAAATAAAGTAGTTGCTAGCAATAGTTACCTAATCAATTGCATTATATATGCGTATGCTTCCAAGTAAAAGAATTTGAAGTAAAACGAAAGGCATCTGCAGAGCATCAGAGAAAAGAAACAGGCAAGAGCAAAACACTGTTCACTGAAAATATTTAAGTTACCAACACCTCTCAGTTGGAAAACACTCAGCAAACATTTTGCATATTTTACTCTTAACAGACCCTTTGTACAAGCAGAACAAGAGAAATGAGTACCGAATAAAAACAATAGGAAAACGTGATATCTGTATTTCTGTGGAAAGCACGAAAAACAAGGAACCATACCTTCTAGGTCATCAATGCTCTTCTCCAGCTTGGTTACTGACCTCTCAGCAAACTCAGCACGGGTCTCAGCCTGAAGTCAAGGCAAACACACAATTTTAGGAAACACATGCACACTTATTTACATATACATATTTAACATTTACATATACAAAGAAAATTCAAATGAGAAGGAAGTACGTACAATGACGGGAGATGGATTTGAAATAACTGAAACACTGAAGAGAGGCAGCTAACACTAAAACTCATTGTCTCACAAATGACACATTCATCTCGAAAGACTCAAAGTAGTATTTATATATAAAGAAACAAAGTAGTATTGGAAGGTGTGCTGTGAAGAATGGTTCTAATTTTACCTCCTTCAGTTTGTCAGTCAAGACTTTAATCTCCTCTTCATATTTGTCTTCTTTCTGCGAGTACTGTAATTAGAAAGAGGATCACAGATATTAGACCAAGCGCTCAACACATACAGAGGTATCACATCCATAACTGCCTTCCAATAGATGAACTGCATAGAAGGAACATGGGTAGAATTGAGTTCCACTTACCAGACCGTAGTCATACAAATTCTACTACAAGAACTACATACTAGTTGAATCACATACGAGGGCTATGCAGTGGGAACTGAGGAGAAATTAATCCTACAGTTTTAAAGAGAAGGGGCATTTTGAGATAAGACCCTAATACTCCAAATGCCATTTTAGAGTACATTATCTAAGTTTATATAAATGCTGTTGGATGTTTAACAGAAGACATGTTCAAATAATACTGATCTATTTGGCATCCGAAAGAACCCTAGTTGCTCATAACATCCAAATACAGATTGAGTGGAAAGTCCAAATGCTTCTATGAGCAAACGGCCTTGTTAAAGTGCTGCATACAAAAGTTACCAGCCTACAGAAACACAGGCCAGTCCGGCTGACAACTTAACACATTCTCATGTAAGTCTCTAGCCTACCTTCTCAGCCTGAGCCTCCAGCGACTTCAGGTTGTTGGTCACAGTTTTCAACTCCTCTTCAAGCTCAGAACATTTGCTGTTATTTCGGAATGAAGGCAGGAAAGGGGCGGGTGGAAGATTCAGTCAAGCAAAAGAAACAGGAGAAAATAGGGGGAAAAGATAGAGAAAAATGAAAACAATTATAGAGCAAAAGGTCAGCCTCAAAAGCAGCTGAATCCATCACAGATTGAAAGCAATTCTTTCTGACGCCAAATTCTCTTCCAAGTGTGTTAAGAATACCAGACACAAGTTATCTACAGCTCTTGGCTTACACAGAAATATTTAGACGGTCTTTAAATGTGAGACAGTTCAGCTTCTTTTTGGCTGCACAGGAGATCGGTTGTAAAGATAAAAATGAATAAACAAACAAAAACAAAACAACAAAAACGAGACCAAAGAAAAACCACCAAAGCAAGATGCAAAGGGAGTAAAGAGCGCAGTGAGGACTTATTTGTTACTACTGAATGATCTAACTGACTATGAAAGCTGAAAGACCTGGGTTGCAGTTAAACCTAAGAACTGTTTATTAGTATCAGTACCTTATCCTCTGCAGCCATTAATGCTTTCAAGGTTTGATCCATTATTCTTAACTGTTCTTCCAGCTGTCGGACTTGGCTGTTAGTGAACACATGAAATGCACAAAAGCCATTCACAAAATCAGTGTGCAGGAACAGCATGCAGTGACAAAACACGCGCACACGCACACAGACACGTTTACTTTGGTGCTGACCACTTGTTTCAACCATTACAGTAAACGAGCAGAACAGAGCTTGGAGCTGAACACACAGTGTACTGCCAACGTCTCATGCTGTTACAGTTACTGTCTCGCAGCACCTCACACGCAGCTCAGGGGGAGTTCCCGCATGTACCTTTCCGAGAGCTCCGCACGCTCCTCGGCCCGCTCCAGGTCGCTCTCAATGATCACAAGCTTACGAGCCACCTATGGAAAAGGCAAATCACGGGCATTACGCTGCTGTGGCCAGTGTCACCTGCAGCCAGAACCCACGAGACAGGCAGTGGGGCCTCCTCCTGGATTTAGCTGAAGGGCAAACACGTGGGCTTTGATAAGGAGACATCCTCATTATGCATTTGGGTCTGTGTTACCAGATGTATTTCACAGCCTCTTTTCTCCATTCACCAAAAGGCAGCTTAGAAACAGTCTCTCATTTTGAGAGACTCCTTAAAAGATCAGGGTGTAAAGGACGGAGCACAGATCTCCAGCCACCTACTTGTCCCCCTGGAGATATCCAGGTACCCAGGCTTTTTCTGCAGCTGCAGACAGTGGCGTTTGTGATCTTTCGAACTGAATATGGCAAGGGAAAGAAGGAACCATACGCAGAGTCTGAAGGCCTTTAGAAACAAATGACCTGTGTTCAAAAACTGACCTCTTCATACTTGCGGTCAGCCTCTTCAGCAATGTGCTTAGCTTCTTTAAGCTGGATCTCTTGGATTTCCATTTTCTCTTCATCCTTCTGGGCTCTATTTTCAATGACCTTCATTCCTCTGAAAGACAAGTAAAACAGGAAATGCAAGGTTCAGGGCTTGCCAGTTTATCTTCAGCTCTGCTACCACTGGATTGTGTCTTTTAGAGAGGTACATTAAGATGAATGAAGCATGTCAAATACTTGATTTTACAGACCAGGGGCTCTAGGCCTGCGTGCTTTCACACTGGAAGTTTAAAGCAGAGCTACATGACTTAAGAGGAAACAGCAGTCATTTGTTTAGCTCTTTCCACAGTTCAGCTCTACCAGAAACTTGAAACCAGCTGACTCGTCTTCTTCATTTTAAAATTCAGGGAAAACAGATCTTATACAAAAGTAAATCAAAACCATCTTGCTTCTAAGGATCTAATAAAAATGACTTGAGACATCTGTGTTTCTTCACTCATCATGAGATGACATGCTCCTATTCCTGCAAGACTGACAGATACTATCTTTATGGGACAGACAGACTGCCATGAGGTCTGCCACAACAGAGCCCTTGAGCAATGAAGTTCTCTGTACTTCGCACCAGCAAATTTTAACCCTTTTAAAACAGGAAATATTTTGCATTCTCCTTTCCATGCAAGTTTGCCTGCAATTCCCTTTCATCAGAGACACACAGCACCCTTTGAAATAGTAAGGCATTTTATTTTCAACAGGCTGTGGTGTTACTGAGGTAAGAAGAGGGGTGCGTTATATTTGGAATTCATTGACAAATAAAGATTCTATCATCACAGACAAAAAATATAATCTGCAAAACAAAGTGTGGGATCTTCCAAAGTCAGCAAGTCTTGAGCTCCTAAGTAGTACTTATGAAAATCCCAGCCTAAATAAGACTCAGTCAGCACTATCTCTCCCTCCTTTGTTCAACCTTCATGCACAAATCTGATGAACAAGAGACCCAAAGCCTCTTTCAGCCCTTTGCTCTTCTCTAGGTGGTATTTTCTACACATAATAAAATTAAGAATCACTCATTCAGAACCTGCCATCCAAACACAGGAGTCAGGGCTGGTTCAAGCAGTTTTCCCAGGAAGTGACACCACACATCAAAAAAAAAAAAAAAAAAAGCCTGTCCGAACTGAATCTGATCCTTGCAACTGGGGCACAAGCAAGAACTCAAACCTACACATTTAGGACATCCTTACAGACAGGCTGAAACTGAAGCTCCTGCAGGCAAAGGCAGAGGGGATGACAGGCATCCAGAGACATAGGAGCGGTTTCATTTACTTCCCTAACCCACACCCTGGCAATTACCACTTTCGTCATAAGGGTAATGAGGCCTTCAAGAGTGGCCCTGCCCACCTTTCACTCTCGTCCGCAGCCTTCTCAGCCTCCTCCAGCTTCTGCAGGGCAGTAGCCAGGCGCTCCTGAGCCCGATCCAACTCTTCCTCAACCAGCTGGATGCGCCTGTTCAGGGAAGCTACTTCGCTTTCAGCCTAAGCACAGGAAGAACAGAAGTTAATGCACAGTAACACACACATACATCACCTTCTGTAAGAGATCAACCCACATATCTGCTAGTGTCAGTTACAAGCACTTCAATATTTCTCACTTCACCCACTAAACGGCATGTGCCCAGAGACAAACCTGCCCTCACCCAACTGTGAGGTTATTGCTTAACGGGGAAAACGTGATTAGTGCTTCCTTTACATAAAGCACGTTAAGGGCTAAACAGTTTGTGCTAGAAAGAACAGTACTAGAGGAATTAGGCATCGTTCTCTAAGTATCTTCTGTTATTGTATTTGCAAGCTTGAACCTTTTTTTTCTTTTTTTTTTTTAAAAAAACCAAAATCAACATGAACAATATCCAAGTTGTTCAGGATAGCATAGAAGAATTGGGTAATCTACTGCAGGAGTACACTGGCACAAATTCTTTAACTCTGACCTTAGGCCATAGTTTGGTAAGAAATGCTGTACCAGTATTTCCTTGGTTTCATTAAGGTTTAAGGTAGACACGTAAAAACACAGCACCCGTATCAGCATGTGCAGTGACAGAGTTCACACAGAGAGTGCATGAGAACATTTAAGAACCACCTGAGCCACTGGATGCCCCCAAGCTTTGTGCACAGGCGAGATACAGAGCTGGCAAAGGCAGTACCAGTGCAGGCTACACCACGGAAGGGCACTGGTGCAGGCGGCCGCCACCTCAACGTGCCCATTGCTCTGACGACTTGTCCAAGCTTCCCCCAAGCCCCCCTCTCTCTTGCACTAGCCTTCGCTTAATCCTTCGTATGATACTCGCAACCAACCTCTCTCTCATCCTAACAAGCTTCTACCTCTAACAACCTCCAGCTTATGCTTGCTTAGAGTTCTGTAACAGGCTTCTTGAAGCAACCCCTTTGTTAAGCTTTAATTTCTTTCAGAAGAATATTAAAGAGCAGAAAGAACCTCAAAACAATTATCCTTAGAAGTAAATTACTTGATTTGTATTGGAAACTATCTCTCCACGTACGAGGAAGTAAAAATTCAGTATTTCTAATACTATCCAATTAGTGGGGGGAAGGATGGGAGCAAAAGAAAGAATCCTAAATTCCTCTCATACCAAAAGTATCAGCTTGGTACTTTTTCTTCTTCTTTCACTAAAAATTAAAGGAACTTACTAGTTGTTTATACTGTCTAGAGGCACTTGGATACACTCGGCCAAATTCTGGCTTTTTTTGTACAAAACATCAGCGAGGAGAACTTGCACACCAGATAACAGAGCTGCAAATATATATTTGAACATTACCAGGTACTGGCAGTGAGCATATGGAAGCAGGACTAGAAAAGATCCCTGCGGATCCACATTATTTCCAATATAAAGTCTTTATCCAGCTAGGATCCAAAATTTATATTTTCAGATTTCTAGCTTTTAAGAAATAACAATTCAAACATCTTGAGCTGAGAAACAAAGGAACTTCTGGAGGCAGAAAGAGACCAAACGTTACTCTTGGGAAATTAGTAATGTTTCAAGTTAATTATTGTCACATTACGACTTCTCATCCGGATAACAGCACACAACAGGCTTAGAAAACGGAGGGCGACTAAAGTTCAGGTCTTTACTTCCTGCTCCACAAGCAGTAACTCAGGGAGGGTTTGCGACTACCCTTATATGGCCCAAGTTACTCTTCTGCAGAGCAGGACTTTCTCCTTTTATGGCAAGGAAGGAAAAACCCCAGTGACACGGGGCACTCCCACGGCGCAGGCAGCAGCGCTGCTGCTCTTCTGCCAGAACACTTATACACTGCATATTTTCACAATGAGAGATGACAGGGATAAATTGCTATTGGGTGTTAATTATTACTGCTCTAAGAGATTATTTTCCAGCCAATCCTATAATTGAAGCAGGAATAAGGTACTCTGAAAACGCAACCGCTAAATGCACGCTCATAACATAGTGTCTTTTTTCTTTCTTCTTTTTTAAATAAAAATGGTGGCTACTGAAGAACGAGTCTGACTCTGGGAATGGTCTGGTTATTTACTATCAGAAGCTGTAAGCTGTGATATGCTTGGCCCACAGCTTTGGCTTTTCCATTGTTTACACATTTGTACCTTGCAGAGAAAGAAAATATTCCCTGCCGGGTCACGTGCGCCGGGAAGGTGCAGCAGAGCCCGGGCAGCTGCTGCTCCGCAGCCCTCAGCGCTGCGGAACGCGGCGGTGCAGCCACACGCGGCTCATTGCAGAAGAGGCGCCGCTGCTTTCTCCGCTATTTCGCCTCAGTCATGACCTCCCCCAAAGACAGACCCCAACACCATGGGCCTGGACGCCCCAGGCCGCAACGCAGCTTCTCCGGGAAAGGCCAGTGCCGCCCGCGGGATGCTGAGCCCCAGGGCAGCCCTGGGAGGAAGCTGCGATGGGAAAAGGTGCCTGGGAGCTGCAGTCGCTCCTCCAGAGCGGCTCCTCCTGCCACCGGAGCCAACAACCACCTTCCTGTTTCCTGGCATAGCAACCAGGCGTGGCAACGCTGCGCAGCAAAGCGCTGCTCAGGGAGAGCCTTGGGGAGCGAATCGGTGCGACTGCCGCGGGAGCCCGCGCCACGAGCGGGGCACGAGGAGCGGCCTGCGGGAACGCGGGGCAGCCGCGCGCGGCCACGACCTCCCCTTCCACACACCCTCCTGGCGAACCTGCTGCCCCAGCGGTGCAGGAGGCCTGTGCGCTGTGAGACCCACAGCCAGCGCCGCCTTCTCCATCGTTACAAACCACACAAACAGCTCTGGCCTTTGACATCAGCTCTGCACAACGGCTGAAGGCACTGAAGCCATCCTAAGCACATCAACTATATTAAAGAAAGGAAAAATAACCCACGGGTGCCACCACTTCCCAAGGCTAAGAGCAAGGCAAAAAAAGACAGAAATCCTTTGTCATCGTTTTTTCACTACATTCACCACCCATAATTACACCTGCACCACCTAATACTTTTCCCTTTGTCTCTCTGTGCACACCTATGTAACACTGGCAAACACAACACTTAACACAGGCAAACATGAAAGTGCCTTTCAGGCCAACTTTGCCTGAAAAAAAGAGAGATCCTTAATGGTTTCCAACTCAGCGATGCAGGCAGCCCTGGCTCTGCCCAAGGAGGCACCCATTTAACTCCTCGCTCTGCAGCCGACACGGCGCGGGGCTCTGGACAGGCCCCGAGGCTGCTCCTGGGCTGAGGCAGACGCGGCCCAGGCCCGGGAGCTGCCCGCCCGCGCGGCGGCCCTGCAGCATCTCCCCAAACGCTGCGGGCGCCGCGCTCCCACGGGCGGGTAACGCCCGGCCACGACGCGGAGCCGCCGACACCGGCACCTCGGCGGCCCCGGGGACC